AGTTTCCAGTCTCGAGTTCGTTGTGGTGATCCTGACCATAGAGTGAGGATGATGACCCTTTGAAGTATCCTGAATCCGCAGCACTACTGCCGCTACCGCTACCACGCTGGGGAGTAGTGGAGTTTTTCATGGAGGGAGAAGCGTGGATGAGCGATACGGATGGGGAATGGTACGGGGATGCAACTGAAAGCGGTGTGGACGGTGTGTTGGAGTAATATTGGGTGTAGATTGACCTGAGGATGGTGTATGGGACATGTGATTCAAGGGAGCTTCTTGGGAGGTAAGGTGAGATCTCACAGAGTTGGTCTAGGAAGATAAGCTTAGCCACAAGATGAGATCTGCAGAACAAGAAGGATATAATATGATGCTGCGGATAAAATATACGGCACCGAGAAGAACAGAAAACCTGGTTTTCACTTACCTGTTGGCTTCACTCCATGAATCTAGCACGATCGATGCAGCGAATTTTACAAAGAGTAACATTGCGGATTTGATGCTTGCTTCAGCAGTTACACGGGGTTGAAACTCTGAGTCAAGATTTTCACTAGAGTGATGACCGTTGGAGAGGGATTGATGCTGCTGCTGGTATTCGCGTTGTAACCTCACATGCTCACTTCCTGCGATGACTGCGCTAATGCACCGAGCCAAGCAATGGATGTTGTTGCTGAATCCACCAGTCTCGATGTTGAAGCCAGTGGTGTTCCAAGCATTTGAGGTCATGAATGAGGCAAAAAAGTAAGGTAGCAAACTCCATGAGTTGTCATTTGCACCTCCTACCTCTTCGAGAATTAATCTAACCCATTCAGAGTCATGATCTCCCGCTACATTTACGCTGTTTGCCACACCTTTGATCCTTCTGATTTCTTTCTTTTCAGGTATTTCTTCAGGTATGTGCTCCACGATGCCGGAGATCATCGAGTGTATCAAGGATGCATTGTCTTCAAGAACTGCTCCAGAGGCTTCGGCTAGGAGATCATCAAAAGCCAACGCTTGACCAGCTTCAATACAAAATCCGATCACCGTATCCAAATCCACTATTTGCCTAACAGAGGCATCTCTCTCCACTCTGTCACCAGAATGCATACTTGCAGCAGCCGCCTCAATCAATTCCCGGTTTGACCTCAGAGAGGTTTCTATGCAGTTTACCAGAGCAGCTGTATGCACTTTCATCATCCTATCCAGTCGGTCTACTCCATAGCCACCAAAAATGCGAACAAAAGCCTGTAACTCCTTAATATCCGTAACTGACTCTGCAAAATACCCTCCAACTGGTCTAGTGCTTTTAAAGTATTTGTGTCTGGGAGCAAAGAGGATTCCTGCGCCAGACACATCCTTGATGATATTGTCCATGTACCAGTTGCACACAACTTCAACTGCAGATCCAGTGTTTTGCTGTTGTTCAGCAGGTTTTTCAAATGAATGCAAAGAAGAAACAGGCCCCGAAAAGGCTTCTGTGAGTAAAATTTCTCGGATGCCTTGGGTTAGGTCCATGCTAACGTGCTGCTCTGCCAAATGGACTATGCTCATATGCCGCCTGATAAGCGACTCTAAAACAGAAGGCCGTTGAAGATCGCTATCGGTTTGAAGTGCAATAAGAAATCTTCTCTTGAAGTTCCCAAGGATGCATTCTCTCATGTACTACACATATTCAATCGACAGGATTAAGTCATAAAGTCTAAAAGCCCAATCGGCAAGATATATACAAAAAAGCCTAAAAGCTTAACAAGACCAGACAACGAGAGAATCCATCGGCTTTTCCAATAGTTATTCTTTCTAATATACGGGACACTGAAGAAACATGCAGCCTTTCTAAATAGGATTGTAGCAGAGAATCTAAAAGAACTCAGCTATCTATGTGTGTTTCAAACTAATAAGATAATCACTGAGTTGAAAGCTCACCTCCCTTAGCACAAATACGTGGTTTATAACGCAAATAGGCTCCATGTCGTTCAGAATTGAACACAGATTAGTCAACCTTTGGATTGCAGCTTCCAACCTGTCATCGCAAGGAGATACATAAGATTACAATATCCAAGGAGCAGTGGTGTCATGAAGAAGAAAAACACGTAGAGACTAGATTTGGGCACTCACATTTTAATAGACTTGTTATTCTCAGGATAGCTCTCATGGCCGGGCAAAGTAAACCCGCCTACAACTCTGGGGGATTTCATTGAAGAAGCAGAAATCCTTGATGCATTATTCAGGTATGCTGCAGCTTGTTCAGGAAGAAGCTGTAAAAGCTCAACACATCAGTTTAAGGACACTAGTCGAGTAGAAGATTGCTTTTGTTATACTAGTCATTTTGGGTAGGATATATGACCTGAGATTCTAGGGCGCCAAACCCGCCTTCTGAATCAAGAATATTTATTAGTCCCTCCAGCCCTCCCATTATTGATTCAATAAGAGATTCGACATATAGCACTGCATCTCGCCCAAATTTGGTAACCTGTGAAGAAAGACAAAAAGAGGGACCTTTCCATTCAGTATGATGGTGTCACTGATATAGAATAGGAATACATGGTGGGAATAAACAATGAGAATTCATGGTTCACCAAAACAGAAACATATATATTGCATTGTTTAAATAAAAAAGTTGGCATGCAAAGGGAAAGATATAAATCTAATCAACAACTTTATCTGACATAGCATATATGCAAATAAATTAACGGAGCCAATTTAATTTTGCAATCGCCTTCAATGTTTATTGCAATGTCGAGTGTAGTATGGTTCTCACTGGGTGGCCTTAGCCCTACTTGAACGCATACAAGAATCAAATGATCCAGACGTGTACTATGGAAACAATGCAAAAAATCACTGAGATTGAAATATGGATTTACCTCCTCAGGAATTATTAGCGAAGCACATTCCGGGAAACTACTAGCCACACTGAGCCATGCACAGCAATGCTGGGGACGTCCTTCTGGTCCAAACATTGTATTTCTGAAAACCTTTTACAACAATCAAATGTCAGATTATGCATAAGACAACTCATGCAAGTAGTGGACAGTAAAACAACAACAGAAAGTATACAGTTGTGAGGTGTTGATGGTAGAAATATAATTTCTTCAGACTTCCATGCTTTGATAATTGAGACTCTAACTCATCAACACATCTGCATTAAGAAGACATAATTCTCCAGGATATTAGTTTCGCTATTTTCCTTGCTAGAAGATAACCAAGTAATGGTCATGTAAAACCAAGAACAGTACCTGGACCAGTTATACGCGGCATTTCCTTCAGATAGCAAGCCCTCCTTCCCGGTAGAGACGGTAGCCTTTTCCAGATGCCTGATGTTAATCGATGATCGAGAAGAAGTCACAATCATCAAAATGGACAGCCAATCTTTCCGAAATTCCTGTACAACAAGAGGACAGAGCATTACAAAAATTGATTGGAAGACTAAATAACATACTCATGTTAGGGCCAGGCTACCATTAGGATTTGAAGACAGGCCAAATAGGAAACATATCAAAACATGAGCGAATCTACTATCTAGGGGATATTGATAATCTGTGAAAGAAAAATGCAAGTATGTATCATCTGACTTCAGAATAAGTGAATCTAGAATAACTTTCTTACAGATAAGTCACATGTGATTGCAGAAACATTTTCTCCCTGCGGTTTGGGTATATTTTCAAGATGTTGCACAATATGTTGTAAAAGGCCTTTCAAGGTCGGATCAAGGTCCAGAGCCACGATTCCAGGAGTGCCCATCAAGTAACGAATCCTTCCAGCAGATGAAGAAAGGTATGATAGTGCATAACCTCGAACAGCTGCATTTCAAACAACAAGCACCATTAAGATAGCAAATTTTGACCACAGGTACTGATCAGTAAGATCTCAATGAGCTGCAATTGGTCCAACACACGTTTCAAGCTCCCGTACTTCTAACCAATGTCCGAGAATGTGATATCTCAAAGTAACAAACCTGCGATGTACTTGCGCACTAAACAGCAGAGACGGTCCATTCCGTCAAGCAGGAAGCCAATGGTTGGATCATTTGGATCCTAAGAAATAAGTTATGACAAATCAGCAATCATGACCAAACTTTGAGTTCAATAAAAGTCAATGTTACAAAACTGAGAGGCTTTCAAAGTTCAACCAATCAACTTACTATGTCAACTGGTATCACTCGAGCAGCTTTGGATCTTGCTGATGCAACACCAGCGTGTTGAAAATACCAGAGAACCTCAGATTGGGCTAAAGCCAAAGCAGAGAACACCATCTACGAAAAGAAAAATAAATCAATCAATCATTGGGAAAGTTCGAGGAAGGGAAGAACTCTTGTGAGTATAATACTGGATAGGAGGCTCTGATCTGTGCAGAACATAAAGTTCG